AAACCTTCAACACACTCTTACAGCATAACACCTCGTAAATACCATGATTGAACCACCAAGCGGCCATGCCGCTCGTGATACGCGGTCACCTGCCGAATGCCGGTTCACGGCAGGGTGAAGATTTTCAGGTTCTTCAATGGCTTCTATTTCTGGGTAGTCTCTTTAAATACATAATTAGGGTCCCTTTAGGGTCCTTCTATGAGGGTGCCGTACGATAAAAATCTAGAAAACTAAGTACCAATAATGTAGAAACTAGGGGTCTCTATAAAGGATACATTACCCTCAAGACAATTACTTAGCGCTGCCATGCAGAAAATAGAAATAGAAAGCCGGCACCCTACTTCTCAAGCAAAGATGACGAGATCTCCGCAAGGAAGACCTCGCGGGGCCGATGGCCATGGGGACTCCGCGCCTATATTTCTAGATATGTACACATATATATATATACATAGAGAGAGATATAGATCTATAGATATTCTTCATGTTACACAGCATACGGTCTTTCGTGATGTGTTGCTGTCTGGTTGATCTCATCTAGATGTTGTATGTTGTTGACATGAAAAGCATTAGCATCTCCATGCCGTAGTCTATACTGATAATACCTATAGTCTCCATTGTAGTTCCTTGTTTTGGTTTAACCAGTTCTATAATTAGGATCCTATAAGGTAACCCCAACAAGAAACTACAATGGAGACTATAGGTAAGCTTCAGTGGCCCCTTCTGCCTTGGGCCTGCCTGGCAGCCTTCTGGAGGGAGCTCCGGGTGTCAGTTCGTCTCTGTTGAAAGTAACTGAACCAGAGGATCTCCAGGGCTGGTTCGCGATAAAAAAGGGGCCTTAAAAGTTAGAATAGGGTTTTGGGGTCTATTAAACTATGATTATAATAAGGAGCCCCCAAAGCCCTATTCTAATTATTAAGGCCCTAGACTATGCGTCCAAAAATTTAAAAAGGCTGAATTTTGCCTTACGCCATGTGTCCAACACTCATACTCGTTTCGTATTTCGTCATACATACTAGCATTGGTCTGCTCTCTGTCAATGAATGTGGGTGGGATGCGTAAATTTCTTCGAATCGATTTTTGTCTGGAATGCATTTAGGATAGAAAGTGCGGCAGGGCAGTAGTTAGCTGCACACATTGAAACTCATAAAGTCATTTGGAACAGACGATCGCATTGAAAACTTTAACTTTCCAGTTTTGGCTCTTTTTTGTTCTGTTGTTAGCTTTATCCCACAACAACTTCAATCGGTTGCATGTAGCTATGCGGTCACCGATTCTGTTGGAAACTTCAGCTCTACTGTCGAAGGTGTCTGTTAGCAGGGTTCCAGGCAAGGCTTGTGCCGGCCATGAGGGGAGATTGCTTGGTGGGGTTCGTTTTCTATCGTAGCAATGACTATTCTCTGGGCAAGTTAGGAAGCCTCAAAGGAACCCCTTCAAGGAAACCTTTTGGGAACACACAGAGGCAATTGGGATCCCGTGGGGTGAACTCTCCTGGCTCTACTCGGCATAACCGTACCCTAAGAGACCTCACTGTCTAGGGATCCTTGCTATGACTTCCTGATATACACTAGACCCTAAAGCGCTTTGGAATGCAGGTAAACCCTGAACCCTAAACCCTGCAGCTTGTGGGGGTCATCTCTCAAACATCGCCATCCTAACCCAAACCCTAAACGCCATAAAGCCCAGAACTCGAAGCCTTTAACCTTGTAGACCCTACTCTACCCTATAAACCCCAAAATCCCCCAAATAGACCCGAACCCCCTTAAACCCTAAACCCAGGCAACATATTTTAAACAAACTGAAGAGAGTGGGAAGACGCCTCTGGGAGCTGGCGCCAGCAGTGCACCTGGAGCTTCCCAGAGATCGTAGCATTAGGGGGGTTTTTTTCCCTCTCGCATGGCAGAGAACAAAGCTCACAGGCGAGGTTGAATAGAGCGACTAAGCTGGGGTTTAGGGTTTAGGGTTCAGGGTTTAGGGTTTAGGGTTTAGGGCTTACTTGTCCGAACTGGGGGCCTCTTTTTTTGGGGCTCTTAAACTATAGAGTGAGGTATTAGGAGTAGAACTATATAGGGTACTCCGAATTGGGTCTCCTTGTGGGGTTCCCAAACTATAGAGTGGCGTTTTTAGAGTAGAATTATATAGGGTACCCCAAAGGGACCATGATTTTGACAGTTAGTCATGTGGACAGCGGCCGTATACATTAATATACACAGCTTTAGCTCTGTTTAGCGAGTGGCTGGTCCATCTGTGCAACCGCTTGCCTAGTATGCTGTTTTTGTAAGTGTAGTCATGGGTCTTGTGCCGTACAAGTGCTCGCGTATAGACATCTCTCGCTCCCTTTCTCCCTCTCTCTCTCGCTCTCTCTGTCTCTCTCTGTCTCTCTCACACTCACCCTTACGATATGACCTGCATATGATATGCATATATGTATATATGTATTCCCATGCCTTCGAGGAGGGGAGGCAGGAGAGAGGGAGAGAGAGAGAGAGATAGAAAACACATCCGCGTGCATGGGATTTTGGTGCAAAAATGTGTCGGCGCCTCGATTTGGTTCACCTCCGGCAGCTCAAGACCTGCTTCCCGCAATCCTGGGCCGGGTTCTGCGGATCTTCCTTCTCCTCTTCTCCGGATGTTAGTAGCAAGGATTTATGGGTCCGTTAATTAACCCCGAAAGGAAGTCTTAAGCGGGGTTTAGGGCCTTGGGTCCACACTGTCCTTTTTCATTTTAGGCTGGTGTGCCAAGGCATCCAGACTTTAGGCATGCAGGGTCTTACGGTGCCATTGAGGCTTTGAGCCTTGACGCGCCTGCTTTGATTAATATGGTCTCCGGATCGTTGCAGAGGCTCCTAAATCATTATCATTACATTCGAAACCTAGACACGTTTGTCATGTTGTGCTGCGGCCCAGACGGGGAATGTCAGCTGGGGATCGTAGGACGGGCTAGTGAATCTAAACTCGGACACTGAACGCTGGCCCCAAGCCCGAATAAAATGTAAACTGCCTGTGAAAGGAACGCAACCCTGCATCTTCAACCCAACAACGCTAAATGGGAGTTTTCAAAACAAAAACGAAGGACCAACATCTGCAAGATCCATATTAAAGCGTAACTCGAGTAAACCTTACACGCCCCTACACTTCAGAAACCCCGCAACCCCCCTAAATCCCAAAACCTTATAGTGAACTCCAAACACCCTACATCCTACAATGAGGCCTTCGAGCTGGGCGATTCCGAAATTCGAAACGCCAACCTGCCGGACGAGTTGGGGGGTTAGGGCTTTTGAGGCTGCAAGGCTGAGAATCCCTAACCCCTAAACCCTAAACCCTAAACCGGCTATTCAGGGATCTTTGGACCTTTGATCTTCGGCTTGTGCGGCTTTTCAACCAGGCTTGGTAAAGAATCTATTCAGGCTTTTCATTCAGGGTTTAGGGTTTAGGGTTTAGGGTTTAGGGTTTAGGGTTTAGGGTTCCAAGGTGCTACAATTCGGCATGCAACTGAATTGGGGGGCTTCGGGTTTACGGGTTTTTAGGGCTGTTAAGTTAAGATGAAGGCAAGGGGGAGTCAGAGGCTTGATCAGAGTGTAGGGTTTGGGCTTCAATACTTTGGGGTTGCGTGGGGTTGGGGGTTGATAAAGGTTAGGGATCAGCCTTCGATAGTTGCTACACTAAGTCACTCATATGCCTTGCAATGAATTCTTGCTTCACCTGATACAGTGGCCTGATACGTACAGTTTCGGTAAAAGTGCCAGCTGGCTAGCATTATTGCCTTCAGTTGTAGACAAATCTTGTGCTCTTCGGGAGCTTACTGGTGGCTGGGGGGAGCCAACCAAGCCCAACGACCTAAACTGGCACGGCTTGCTACGAAACAGCAGCGAACCGAAGTGCCGCTGTTGTGGATTTGGAGGTTAAAGCCTTGGGCAAGATGATCGTCAACCTCCTCTCAAGCTTGACGCTTGGCTGAGTTAGATCTACTTCTCCGGTATCCTGGGAGACTAAAAGTTCAATTTTGGGTAGTATATGATAAGGATTATAGCACCCACCACAAACAAAAAGACACAAAAAAACGTTACCTACTCTACCCTTAAATACTAAGGCCCCCAAAAACGTTAAAGGCTACCTAGTCTACTACTTGCTACCCATAGGCCCCATAGTAGTTCCTTTTGGGGTTCATATTTAGAATCCTATAAGGTAATCCCAAAAAGGAACTACTATGGGGCCTATGGGTAGACCCTGGACGGCAGAGCCAACACAGAATCCGGAACCCGCAGCCAGAAACTATCGATCCGACACCGTTGAGCCCGAGTCATTCTGCTACTACCCATAGGCCCTAAAGTACTTCCTTTTTGGGGGTTCAGATATAGAATCCTATGAGGTAATCCCAAAAAAGGAACTACTATGGGTAAGCCCTAAGCTTCCTGACAGGAATGCCAGGCCCAGGTCGAAGCCCTAAACCCTGGGTTGGCATTCCTGTCAGGATGACGATCGCCTTCTTAATTCTTTTTAGGTTTAGGGTTTAGGGTTTAAGGTTTAGGGTTTAGGGTTTATTTAACATGCTTAATCATCATACCTGCATGACTGGGTGAGAAGCAACGGACACCTTCAGAACCCATCAGCACTATGCCAGTGCCTGTGCAGTGAATCACAAACCTTAAACCCTAAATCATCCAAAATCTAAAACCCCATTAAAACATAATTAAACCGTTTCAAACTTCAAGTCCTACTTGTCATGGTGCGGCCGCGGGACAGCTCGGGCGAGACCCTCGTCCCGCAGTTGGAGGAGCAACGCCCACACTTCCTGCGCCAGATACTGGGCTGGCGGGGTTAGAGCGCAAGGGGGGTTTAGGGGTTTGGGCTTCGGGTTTGGCGTTTAGGGTTGAGGGCTCAGGGGTTTAGGGTTGAGTCGAGGATTTATGGTATCTGCCTTTAGGGGGTTTACTGTAGGGCTTGGGGCTCTGGGCCATTGGGTTTGAGTTTTGGCTTGCGGGGTGCTCGGCTTTCATTAAATGTCAGAAGTACACTGTTCCTGAAGGCTGGACAATCTTTTTGTTGTCCAGATCCTGCAGTACACAATGCGATGAGGATATCATAACCCTGGCTGCGCTCAGACCCTGCGTCTGGATTCCAGGTGTTCTGAGTGTCCGATCTGATCAGTAGCTGCTTTTATTGCATCCCCATGCGAGGCGTGAACGATGCGAAAGTACTCCAATAGGCTGACAGGATCCTCTGCGTTCAGAGGCTGGTTCCCAGAAGACAACACCCGATTCGAATTTCGATACATTCAGTACTGTTCACTTTCAGAGTCAATGGGTGGTACTTTCAGAGTTGACATTCTGCGAAACAGCCGCCATGGAAAGCATAATCAGCTTAAACCGCACGGCAATGCAGAGTTCTGATAGAGGCGCCTTGATGCGGCCCGCGCGTGGATTGTGGATAAGGTAGAGGTCCACGTAGTTGGCTAGGCGAGCGGGGTTCTGGTGGGCGTGCTTGGGGTCGATACTATGAAGACACTCGGGAGCCTAAGGAATACTGCTGCCAAGTCCAAGCACCTTGGACGTTATTGCTGTGCTCTCCTATATATATATATATACACACACACACACATTTTATAAGGAACCCCAAGGAATATTGTGGGTGATTATTTAGGCTTCTATATTACACCCATAAGACCGAAGATTTCAACCAACCGACTGGTGTTTGAACCAGGGGCCAGAGCCTGAAACCATAATCAAGATACCTGCAGGTCTGGGAATGTCAGGAACGAATACAACGGGGGCCGCGATGTAGGGCTTAGGGCTACAAGCCCGTGACTATGAGAAATTATATAATGCCGGCATCCTACTATGAGCTGATGCAGAGATTTTCCCCTGCATTGAAAGGGGTCGCCCACAACGCTCGCTCGCAGACTTCGCAGATCCTTTTGGCTCAAAGCTGACGGACACATTCAGGTCCAATATAGAGAAGTGAATACACACAATAACAGGGTTTTGCGACAAATAACACTACCTGTAGTTTCCATTGTAGTTCCTTGTTTTGGTTTAACCAATTTAACCAATATACTAAGGGTTTTATAAGGCATCCCCCAAAAGGAACTACAATGGAGACTATAGGTATTGCAGTTATACAGGGATTATACAGGCGTTTGTACTGGGACCCTTAACCCGAATACTGGGATCCTCAATCTGTGGACCGCCAAAATGCGGCCCTCAATTTTCTACAATGTGCCTAAAAATCCTCCGCGCTGCATTCGAAGGAAGGTATGCCATAATCGGGCGTCCATGTGTGGGATAATCGTAGTGAAGATTCGTCTAGTAATTGGAGTATATGATTATCAAGTGGAGCATCACGGCTAGATAGAGTACAGTACCCATGAACCACCGAACTCCTACACAGGCAACTGTGCTTCAAGGGCATGTGCTCTGAGTTCCCTTAACTTGTCCAGTATCCTAGTGGAACTAAAGGTCAACCTTTCGGATTACACAAGGGTTATAGTCCACCAAAAAGGGTTTAGGGTTTAGGGTTCGGATTATATAAGGGTTACAGTCCACCAAAAAGGTTACGGTTGCCTACTCTACTACTAAAAACCCTAAACCCTAAACCCTAAACTCTACTACTAAGTTCCCGACTGCCCAAGTTTTTCAGGCTCTCCGCCAAGGACTCCCTGACCTCTGCAGGAAGGCATCGAGGGATTGTCGTGCAAGGTCTTCCTGGAGTCTAGAATTTCAGAATTCAAGGGGGGGCCTTGCGGAGTCGGGTTTAGGGGAAGCTTTGGGGGATTCCGGCATTCAGGTTTACACTTGTTTGTTGCAAGGCGGTTCTGGGAATATGGAGGGCAGCGTCTTTCCAAGCGGAAGCTCCGGGGAAAGCCTGTCAAGAGGGAGACACTACCGTATCAAGAAAGCCCAAAGCCTCAACCCCAGAATTTAAAGCCATGAGCAACAGCGTCTAATTCAAGTCAATAACCTACGAGCATTATCACTATCACTTCACGAGTTAATGTCACTGCTGTTCCTGCTTCATACGCGTATTCAAACGGAACGGTACATACACATACCTACCCATAGGCCCCATAGTAGTTCCTTTTTGGGATTACCTTATAGGATTCTTTCTATGAACCCCAAAAGGAACTATTTTAGGGCCTATGGGTATAGTTTGGCTCCAAGCTCCTGGGACTGCGCCCGCAACATGAGATGCAGCTCACAGAAGGCTTCCGAGAAGGCCCCAGGTTGCTCAAACGCTGTGATACTGTGCCGTTTCGGGTTTAGGGTTTAGGGTTTAGGGTTTAGGGTTTTAGGGGTTTAGGGGTTTAGGGGTTTAGGGGTTTAGGGTTTAGGGTTTAGGGTAAGACGGCCGAAGGATTCTAGACTACATCCTTACCCTGGCCCTAGCCTCCTACGTACTTGTCCAGCCTCCTAGGGG